GGATCATCTGCCCATGATATGATACATTCAAGTGTACCACTGATCTCTTACAGTGCTAAGGGGCTGCCAGTTGTCTTTGTTGCTGGTCATTAAATAAAATGCTTAAGTACATCATTGAATACTTACCTCACAGCCACAGATATCTGCATATAAATGTCTCTTTCTTTCTCCTCGAAATAGGAAGTAGATATTTACACAGTGAAGACTGAAGAATTGGCATTTACTTCTGCGTTCTGCCTCCAAATTCAGCGTAATGACTACATTCATGCCCTGGTCACCTATTTTAATATAGAATTTACCAAGTGTCACAAGAAGATGGGATTTTCTACAGGTAATCTGTATTTCTTTTAGTTTCATTTCTGTCGCTATCAGTGCTCCTGGTAGGATGTTACATGGAGGTTTACTGTACCGCCAGGTTTCAATGTCAGTGATAAAAAATATTGTCACTTTTGGGGGAAGTGAGCAGGGTGGGGAAAGAACAGCTGCTTGTAGGAATTCTGAAAAACAGAGACAGGATTTCTCAATGGCTACCAAGCTTAGAGCTCAGCAGGAGGTATGACCCAGGAGTTTAATCGCACCACCAGTTTCCTCTAAATCCTGTGCCAGTTTCTCAGATTAGACAGGGAATTGTCGGCTCAGTGAGAGAGAGCAGCTCTGCATCCTCGTTTCCTCCGAATCCTAAACTCAAGAAAAGCTCTTGCTTCTCTCAGAGTCTAGACCAAAACCATCAAAAAAGTATCAAAAAAGTACTTTGTGGTAAAGACTCCCCAATTTGAATGTGTGGGGCTTGTATGGAAAGCATCAGGAAAGCGCCCATCACGCCCAGTAACCCCCTTTGTGGAATCCTTCTGGCTGGGTGTGATTCACATGTGACATGTACTGGTGGAAATCAGAAGACAACCCACTGGCAGTCAATAGAATTGTGTTGTCATAAAGCATGTTTGCTAATATAGCGTGTGAGCTAAAGCATTCTCTGAGAAGAAAGGCTTTTTCCAGTTGTTCCCAAGTCTTACTTTGATTTCTAAGACAAAGATGAAATTTCTATAAATAATACCCATATATATTTTTTAGCACCTGATGCTCCCTATACTCACTGGAAGCAAACTGTCTTCTACTTAGAGGACTATTTAACTGTGAGACGAGGAGAAGAAATCTATGGGACTATATCCATGAAACCAAATGCAAAAAATGTGGTGAGTTAGCATCACTGATTCTAATTCCGACTCTGTTGATCACAAACTATAAATCAACAGTAAATCAAATGCATATAAGGAAACCAATGAGCATGCTAAAGGCTCCAAATTCACGTTTATGAGTAAGAGCTCTAGTCACAGCTTCACCAAAGCTGGTGACAACAATGATGATGCAGTTGTAATGTTACAGAGCTCAGCCTGCAAGCAAGCCAGCATGGGAAGGAAGGAATCATTCAAGTACATGGCCAAGCCAGCTGCCCTCTGCCATCAGCTTGGCTCTCATTTTGTGACACAAGTAGGCAAGAGTCTCTTCAAACTGTCACTAAAATCAGTGGTAAACTATCTTCTGCCAACACAGGCTCATCAACACTAAGTATTTCAGTTCCACACCTGCAGCCAGGTTTCCCACTCAGTGCCCAAGAGCTTTAAGAAATCAAGCAACAGGTTTCAGCTGAATGTCTGTATGAACTCACTAATCAAATGGACCTGAACTCACTAATCAAGCCAAATGGTTGATTAAAAATTGTGGCTTTCCACAGAAAATATAGCTGGTTTATTTAAGACTACAGTTAAAGCATGATGGGTATCACCCTGTCATGACTGGTGAAAACTTTCTCAGTTTCTGTGCTATGGGCTGAATCCTGCACCAAGTACATCGTTATTCAGTGCTGCTGCTAACTTGTAAGGAGAATATGAGACATGGTCTGATGGACAACCCGTGCCTGTACAGAAGACCATGACATGAGAACTACAGCTCCTGGCAGAAGCAGTGGCACCATTTTCTGCCAAAAACCTCGAGCAGAGTCTCTTCATTTTCTATTACTACATACAGTCATTAAAATAACCTCGTTATAATCCATCCATGCAGTTGTAATTGCTGAAATATTGCATTTGTTGACTGCAGCAAATCTTAGCATTCATTACCTTCCTGTTTTGCATTACTTTCTTTTTTTTTGTACCAAACACAGATTGGATATGGTTTTCATAGTAGTGTCAACACAGAGGAAGAAATGAACACAAAACAAACTTGGCATTAAAACAAACACATTCACTCCAGAAGTAAGTGAATTCACACATTCACACTTGCTGTGAAAGTAGAGCAAAATAGTGTTGTTTCCCACCTTTATGATGTCCTTAGAGAACTGGAACATTTTCTTTTGCGTTGAACGTATCAATTTTCTTTTGAGGGAAAAACGAAGACAAAATTTCAAATTTGTTTGCACAGCAGTAAGCACCTGAATGCAGAGTTGGGTGCCAAAATTAACATGTTCTTGGTCGTTATCGTAAGACAGAGACCACCCTGGTGCAAAAGGATTTGTTAGCTCTCTGCTCTTCTGGAACAAGAAGCCTTTTAAGAGCTTGTAGAGAGACTGCTTCGTTCTGTAGGGTGTAGGTAGTGCCTCTTTCAAAAAAAAAAGTCATTGTAAGATAAAGAATGACCATGGGCTTCTCTACAATGGGAAGTTTACTAGATCTATTCTGGAGTAACTCCTGGTGTGACAGCCCTTTACCCTAGATTAAGAGTATCTGGCTAATTTTTGAGAATTCAAAAAAATTGTTATAGAATATGTATGATAGCACAGCAGCTACCAGATATCATACATATCATTTCAGCAGCTTCCTAGTTGCGACCAGGACACGAAATCAGCCTTAAGAAGAATACACAAATACACCCTAAACATAGTTTGTATGGCAAATGCTGTTACACATCCCATATCCTGCTCCTTCCGTGTTAGCAACATATAAAACCTAAACAAACCAGAACCCACTGTTGGTATCTCTTGAACCTGCAGGTCTTTTCCACCTGAGCAATGCTAACTGAATTCATACACTGAACTTAATGGTCTTTCTTACATTTACATCTTTTTACAGCGTGACCTGGATTTCACCGTAGACTTGGATTTTAAAGGACAGCTATGTGAAATGTCAGTATCTAATGACTACAAAATGCGCTAGCGAGAAACCTGTCAAGAGAGATGAAAAGGAGAATTTTATCAAGTCCTGACCTGCT